CCCCCTAGTTCCAGTGAAGGGAACTCTAAGGCATCAGCTATGGCTATGATATCTGCAAAAGATGGCTACTTTGACGAGTCTAAAATTTGTTAATTACATTTTGTTAAAGAAAACGATTCCATGATACCTTTTCGCTGTCCGACTGTTTATTTGTTCTATGCTTTATTTTCAGAGTACATTGAGACATTAAACTGCATAAACTTACATTAAAAAAAGACTGGAAAAATGTGCTCTAACATTTTTTGACTGGTAGGAGTAGATTTTTTTCATATAAAATAATATATCCAAACTAAGTGAAGGTTTAACTCGATCAAGGCCACCTTCCTGGCATCTCAGCAATCCCCCCAATAAACCCACCACAACATTAAGTTATAATATGTACTACCTTCATTTAGTTACACCAATTCTGTTTTTAGAATCTTTCAGCCGGCAATTGGCTTTATTGCAAAAAATAGAAAAACATTTAAGACTACATTAAAGTCCAATTTCTCTCTGGTCCAGAGTCTTGCTTTAACCTGTGCTATAAATATTCTTGTGCACATCTGAGTATGCAATTCTTTACCAAGTTAAGTAGTCACATTAATAAAGGAAATCTTATCCCTTGTTCACGCCTCTGCAATACAAATTTGGAGAGGTGCTGCAGGGTGCGCTGAGGTATGCAGTCCATTTAATTGAATGGGCTGGCTACCGCTGCTAAATCAAACTGCATGCACTTTTTTTTCCTATAAATCGCATTACACATCATATGGCAACAGGTTACTGTGCCATGTTGTGCGATACAACGCACACAAGATTGCTAGGTGCATTGAGGATGACATTAAGAAATAATGGCACCGCACCTAACATCGCAACATGCTATTACATGCCAATAAAGCCCAACACTTTCAGTCTACTCCTAGTAGTCGGTACTCTGACCCTCTGAAAGCACAGGCAGAAGTCTATAAGACAGAAACCAGGGAAGTCCCCTGAAAGACCTTCTGCATGAAGGCAAGTTCCCATTTCTAAAAAGGTAGGGAGCCGATTTTTAATCCCTGCGGTTCCTTGGGCCCCTTGAGCATCACATACTAATACTTGCCTCTGGTCCTCTCTTCAGCTAATACCGCACAGAGCAATGTACCGTCCCTGGTCCCCTTGGGTTCCTTTCACCACTGGACCGCTTACAAAACACACACTAACAGCAGTGCCTAAACTGAAGGCCCGGTAGGTGGGATCTTACACATTTTTTTTCTTTTTTAAATATTGCAGTTTTGACTATCACAGCTATTCTGAATGGAAGGGGGGCGTTAGGATGAGATTCAAAGATGATCAAATTTAGTGGGAAAGGTCCACCTTATGCAACTGTCAAAGACCGCCACACTAAGAAAACCACAGAAAAAACTAAATCCAACAATGTCAATGATGAGAACACAAACTTCCCAAAGCATAGACCCCAACCAGTCACAGAGAAGTTCCAAGCACCAGCTTTAACTACGCATATCAAACAGAAAATTATCCGACATTCATTTAAGAATTGAATTTGACTTTTTATTTTTGGGGGGTTAAAATGCATATTTGTACAATGTCCTTTTAGATACAATATGCTAAAATATCTAAGCACATATATTTCATTTTATAAAAGCCACTTTAACCTATCTTCTTGCTAGCGCCGTGTGTATTTTACCTGGATATCATACACAAGTGCAGTTTACATGCACGCCACTGGAGGTCACTAGAGATCAGTCTTGCTTGGTTTTTAGATTAGAAGTGGCAGCTCTGCAAGTTATAGCTCCGTGAGAATCCATAAAGAAGGCATCTAATCATATCTATCCTTTCTGATTCAGGAGATAACGATTGGGACAGACCCTGCATAAAACAAAGTGTCATTTCACATTTTCAAGTAAAATGTAATTATAACATGGGCTGAAATTTAATTCTGTATTCTTGAAAAAATAAAAATGAAGACAGCCACTGCTGACCTAACGAAACAAGAAAACTAAGTTTTCTGGCTCTTCGCACCACTAAAACATACCTTAGATGCATTCTCTGGCATCCTATTGGTACTGAATATGCTACACCACTAAAACATACCTTAGATGCATTCTCTGGCATCCTATTGGTACTGAATATGCTGCACCACTAAAACATACCTTAGATGCATTTTCTGGCATCCTATTGGTACTGAATATGCTACACCACTGCAACATACATTTAGATGCCACACCACTGCAACATACCCTTCAGATGTCATCTCCAGCATCCAGGGCATTGCAACGTGCAATTTTAAACACTTGTTGATAGGGTCAAGAACATGCCTGCCTCCTAGCACACATTCCTTAATGGTCGGGAAGGTTACCAATAATAGTGCCTGGTAAAGAGGAACATGTGAAAAGGCAAGAAGATGGGTACTACGGTAGCTATTGAAACGCTGCAGAAATTTGCATTTTACCGTGCTATGGAATTCGGGGCACCCAAGACCTTGGAGAGCTTATCTCCAGCACTATAACCTCTTCAGTACAATGAAGTTATTAACACTTTAAATATCAACTTTAAATAAAACAACAAAAAATGCACAATATGGGCTATATGCTGAATTTCTAGTATATCACACACTTTGAAAAGGCATATGCCCGAGTACACACTGTGAGCGGCCAACCCATACATATTAAAGTAGCACCTGAAAAGTCGCAAGTATATATTAGAACTTAGTTTGGCACGCTTGAAACACTTCAGGACCTCTCATGTGTATATAAAAGGGGTGGTTCTGAAGTGGTTATACCAAGGTCATGGCTGTACCGTCTTTTCACAGCCAGCGAAGGCTGTCACATACAAGGGTACGGGCAGTTATACAGAAAATCGATCGCTTGTGTGCAGCTGGGGAGCGTGTGCCCCCTGCCCCCAGCTATCGCATGCTCTGCTGTCCCTCGATCCAAGTGAGGGTCTCTGCACCTGAACTGGAGGGAGATCAGCACATGTCCAGCGGCTGACTTCCCTCCAATCACTGAAACCGGAAACGATGTGAATTATATCACTTCGTTTGTGGCTGTCAATTCCATGTCTGCTGTAGCCGGAGACATGGCCGATGACGCACGATCTGTGCTTAATCAGCTTATTTGGTGTTCATAGGTGACATTAGGGTTCTAATACACCACTGATGTATTCATAAAAAGGAGGACCTGTCACTGTATCTGTGCCATCACGATAACAATAAAGTGGAAAAAAACCAAAATAAAACCACCCACACACACATACCA